GCACGTTTTAGTTAATAATCCATCGCCTGATAAAAAAAAAATTATTACATAAAACAACAATGCAACATTACTCTATTCGATAAAATCATGAGTAATTATCTTAATTCGTGAAGAAAATAAACTTTAAACTTTTTTAGAAATCGTTTAACGCCGAGCTAATCGAATATTACGAGTACTACACTTTTGAAGAACATGATCATCTTGTAGCTCTCTCTGTCAGTAAACATAAAACATCTTAGAAAAGGTACCTACCTATATCGGTATTGACAACGCTATGTACCGATTCCTAGAGCTGCTAGAACCGCGAGAATGGTGACACAGCCACATAATGTTACAACAAGAACATACAATTGAATGACACATTACATTACATAAGTAATCGCAGAAAATGCAATGTTTCGTTACGGTCTAACATCGTTTTTGTTGCTATTTAGAACCACAAATAAGAAATTTCGAACAAAAAATTGTGACGCATTTAGAAATAATTTTGCAAATTGCTTGGCCGTCATTATGATGATATATTATTTATGTTACATACCTACGAGTTACAGCAGATACAAAATAAGAAAAGATTAAGAAAAGGCATATAATTTTGCCGTAATTTAAGCGAAAATGTAGATATTATTTCCTTCAGGTTCCTCACTCTTAAGCCATAGGACATGTACTGCTAAATAGTGATTTCTACAATGTCCGGTTGGTGGCGGCCTGCTTCTAGCGCCTTCCTGCTACCTTTATGAGGTCGTCAGTCCATCTTGTGAGTGGACGTCCTACACTGCGCTCTATTTCAGAACCTTGCTGCCCCATCGGCCGTCAGTTATGCGTACTATGTGCCCTGCGCCTGCCCATACCTACCCTTATGTCATTGAAAATAATTAATTGTTGGTTTTGGTCTGTATTTTCATAAACAAATTATATTATTGTATTCGAAGTAAACACTGCATAATTGTTATCTAGGTACAGCGGTTAGCTTAGTATTTGTGGTTTTTGCGTAAACGTTCAATCGTGATCACAATGTCACGAAGCTATTTTAGATCACATAATTATATTTTTACACAATTTTTATGGAGTGTAAATAGCAAATAACCTACTTTTGCATTTAATTTTTTATAATCAATTTTGGGCTCAACTCCCATGAACTCGTTGATGTCTTTTATACGCTCTTCAACCTTGTCTTATTTTCAGGCAAATAATATTGTCTTTCCTGAATATAAACTCATCTTAAAGATAGGTAAACAGAATATATTAGACTACTCTTCCCGTGAATAGCTTCCCTACCCAAGGCAACTAAGTCCTTACTTATTATAAGCAAAAATGGCAACATCAGGCCTCCCAAACTCTGGACAACGCAGCGTGGGGCTGGGGAGTTTAGAGCAAATATTCTATGTGCCTCTATGTTTAGCTATTCTCCTGCAGGGATGATGATGAATTATTTTCCATAGTTTTACACATAAACCTATGGAACATGTTGTGTTCTGGCAGTTCGAGGCAAACGAGCCAGTTTCTCTTGTTGTTAAAGCCTTCAGCCTGATCATCACTTTCCATCAGGTTAGATGCAGGCCAGGTCTAGAGCTCCTTGTTGTGGATAAAAAAAGCCTTACTCATAAAGTGTGTGTCCGTGTCACAGTCCGATAGCAAGGATTGCGACACGGATCCGATCGATAAGTACGTACGAGCCCCGCGCGGGCGTCGTACGTGTCACGGCTCCGTCCTTAGATAAGACCTTATCACCGATTGTGTCTGGACTGGAGGCTGATAAGGTTCTTGAAATCGATTAAAATTGTCGAACTATGTCTAGACTATTATTTTTTACACGCTGTAGTTCTGCTTGCAATTCTTTAAACAACTAATAACTGAGCATAGGATTTTATAGCATTAGGAACAGACGGTGAAACGCAACTGCAACGAAACTGCAACTGCTAGTTACTTTTGAGTTGCATCTAAGTTTCTGCCATAGCATCCGTTGAGAGACCACACATGACGCAACTGACGAAACTTAGATGCAACTCAAAAGATCTGGAAGCTGGAAATAGAATAGATCCAGTTTATTCTGTAACCTAATATTGGTACCGTTTGAAAAAGCTCATGAAGTAATTTCAGGACCAATAAACAGTTTTTCGATATCTTGTGTAGTTAAGAAATAATCGCGTAATGTCACTTATAGTTTCCACCCTGTGCAGAGCACAATAAAATTTAGAATTGGAATTCATCTATTGTAAGTACAGTTGTAAAATTACAGAGGCACTAAATATGTACTAGTACACGGCAATTTTCATTGTTACATAACCACAGTCAGATGCCGTTGAGGAAAATCTAAAGGAAACTGCGTAGGAACTATTACAAGTACCTACCTAGTGAATGAAATTATGTCAAGTTCGAATCGTAAGTAGAGTGCAATGTTAAATGTAAAAATGATGCGATGAATGAACCTAGGCGATTAAATTATATTATTTTCCTTTATTACTTCATAAACACGAAGTTGTTAATTAACGTGATTAAGATTTTAAGCTGTATTAGTGTTATGGTTTGGAAATAAAAAATAAAATAAAAAACTTTAATTTGTGAATTAGGTGTTTCTTGCTACTGCATAGGGAAAAATATTATTAGTAAATAGCTAGATCAGGACTAACGAATTGCTTCCAGTATGGAACTACTTTACGTCTACCAAATTAGTTATTATATTTTTCTAAATCACTACTTTTAATACACAATATTCAAGGAGGCTGAGAAATTAGGGCAGTTCTGTTGTTTATTTACAGTTTTGTGTTTACAAAACTGCTCTGATAACGTAACTAGCGACATCTATGTAGAGCTAGACGAAATAGTTACCATTTATCGATGACTCTACCTACAAATTCGAGCAACCAAATCGAACTTGGTCGACTAAAGCCACCTTGTGGAAAATCTGAAGATTACTGTAGTGTGATGTAGGTTTGGAAAACGTTATGTATTAGATACATAAGTTTTTCCAAAGAGGGCATTGCTGTCGACTCTACCAAATCGATTTCGTAGAGTTTAGGTTTCAGAGAGGTTGATGTTTTTAACTGTAGGAACTATAGGATCTTGTTAATTTCCGACAACGAAGGCACAACATGTTTATCAAACATTCCGATCCAAAATAGGCTCTAATAAAACTCAATCTAAACGGTGGATAATGCGTGTCTAACTCTAGTGTGATTTCAATTTGTATGCGCATTGCGGCCCAGCAAGGAATCGAACCTAATACCTCCGGATTGAGAGAGAGTCAACTCTCTATGACCGCGGTTGTAAATCATAGCTTTGTTTAGCTATAGATAGAGTCCTAAATATGTATAATTAACTAGGATGTGTTATTCTTTCACTTTCATGTGAAAAGTAGTAAAATGTAAAGTAGGTCTCATTTATTTTATAGCTTCGATCTACGCACAAGAAAGTGATTAATTTCTGGTTTAATAACCACACTCATATGGATCCCATAGATCCATATGAGTGTGGTTATTAAACCAGAAAACTTTTTGTCAGTTTAAAGTTGGTAGTTATAGGGGGGTTGTAACTACAGTGGGGTATGAGAAGACGTAATGAAAACCTATAGCATTCAGGAATTTTCTAGGAAAAATATCTTAATTTCCCAGTTCAATAATACGTGACACTTTTGGGTTATCTTCTGATTACCAAACTATATCATGGTATTTTAAGTCCTAAGTTAAGAAGCTGCTATAGATACCAGACGGTATAGATAAATGCGTGGACGTTATTTCAAAAGTAATACGGAACCAGAAAAACATTTTAAAAGTTATAAAAAGTTAGAATATAAAATTAAAAATGCGAAAAGAAAAGGATAGTTATCAAAAATAGCGTCATTCGCATCCGACTACTAAAACGTCATCTAAACAGGTTCTTTTATAGAGATTAACTGTCTTTTGACCACAATTTGAGCTGACCAGGTCAATGCTGTGAAAGCAGGATAATCTACATTTTCGTTATATTCGAGAATCTTTTCGCTGGGATATATACCGTGGCCACACGAGCAGATGCATCAGTATCACAGTGAATCCTAGAGGGTCTTCATATGTATGAAGCAAACTGCCACTGACAAAATGGTAAGTTTTGAGCAGTTAGATTATTTTTACAGGACCTGCATACCTATAAAACAAGGTTTAAAAAATAAATCAAATTTTTAAAAAGTACTTACTACCAATGATCCTAGCGCATTTGCTAGCGTCTTTTATGACGCACCTAAATATGTATACCTAAATAACTCTATAGGTACTTTTCTGCGTTACTCAAATTATAGTCTTACTTTTTCCTTTTTCAGATGCTAAAAACGTTGGCAGTTCTATTCTTCGTGGCTGTGTGCGCTGCTATACCAGTGGATGACATCCAGCTTTCCGAAGACGAGCTCGCTCCAGCCGTAGATCCGCAGACGAATGTTCTGGATGACCAAGCAGACTTGAAGACTGACGCAACCTTCTGGCGCTTTGGAGCCTTCAGATACCCACATTTGCGACGACACTACTATGTACCAAGGTAAAGTAACTCTCCTATTCGCAATCATTTCGTTATTTCTTCGGAAACTATGAATACTTAGTATTCAAAAAAATACTTCTTCCTCAATCCATAATTGCTACTTAAGGATAGGAATAGCGTGTTCCTATTCTGATTTCGAGGCCAGTTGTTATTTCGTACTGTCATTTACCAGATTTTGATTTCTTTGAGCGCAAGATTATATAGTAAGTACCTAGTTAATTTTATATTTTTCAGAGTTTACTCCTACTACAGACCAGTCTACACACCATACTGGGGCGCCCACTGGTAAACGATTGGAAACAAAATGACTGATTAGATTTAATAAATAAATTATAAATTGAAAACATAAAGACCTATCATTTAAGTCCTATTTTATATTTAATACATTTTATCCTCACAAAATCAATCAAGAAATTTATTGCCTCCCTAACTAAACAGCTTTGCTTGCTAAGTCTAACTTAATGTTTGGTAAAAAATAAAACACAAATCCAAACTACACTGTAATTAAATTACATTTGAATTGGTGTAAATGCTTTTAGTGCATTGACAAATCTAAGATGGAGGTTTAACATCAGTAGCTTGATACAAGGAATTGATAGCAATATCAGAAGACACAAATGCCATGGATTTAGCGAGGGTTGATAGAGATAAGGAATCCATTACAATTCTATTAGCCACATGATTCAAATTGGCCCCCTGGGATTGTGCTGTGTACTTCAAAGCCAGTTTGATGACGCGTTCACAAGCAAGAGACTTCGACGTGGCAATTCTTGCCTCTTTCCCAGCTTGTTGCGCTGCCGTTTTTGCCAAATTCATCATCAAATCTTGGTGATTGGACATACCATTCTTGGCATACTTTACCGACATTTGTACCTCTATAGAAGCAGTTAAGGCTCGCCTCAGAGCTACCACGCTAGCCGCCGTCAAATAAGCAACGTCACCAGCATAAAGAATGGCTTTTTTAGCTTTTACTTCTAACCTCTCAAGTCTGAGTTTAGTTTTTTTCTCATTAGTTGCATCGTCTTCGCCATCAACCTGATCTGTATCCATTTCAGCTGCAATCTCAGAGTTTATTGTTGTTTTGAAAACGTTGTCCTTCTGATCGAGCCAGTCATCCATGAGACCTGGTGCGTTTAATTCTTGCACATCTAAAGTTTGAGTGTCTTGCGTTACGTAATGTGTGCCATTTATTGATTTATCCAAAACTATGCTATCAGTATTGTTTGTAAGAGTTTCACTATTTTCAATATCTAAAGCGGTTTGATTTAAAAATCCTTTTATAGGAAACTGTGCAGTTTTCTTTACTTTCAAGAATCGCATAATATCTTTATCGTTTTTAGATAATACCGTATAAGGTGAAATATGGGGATCTCTAGGTATTAGCGTAGTATTAGCTGCTTTTGTTTCTTTGCTTGGTGAATTTGACATAGATTTATTCAAAATAGCATTATATATTGGTGAGACAATAGAAGGAGCTGCCATCGTTGTGGGACCATTATTTGGAATTGACCTCTTCTTTCGTAGCGACAAATCAACTGATTGTTTTTTCGACAATGCAGTAGCATACGTGATGTCTTTCAATGCAGATACAATCGACACTTCAGCAGCGATTTGAGCCAAACCGTAAACAAGTCGATGAAGTTCCGGCTCTGTTGACACTTTAGTTATGCTAAGCATGTGACCAGACAATGTACGTGAGATGTAGTCTAGGATGCGTCTAGTCTCTATAGCTGTAATGCCTTTATTCTTGCCAGGAGCTTCTAGTGCTTCTCGAGTAATCCTTGTAATTTTGTCTTGAATCTCTAGTTTTGATAATATAGCAGAAACCAGATCCTTAGAAATTTGATAAAGGGTTTCTTCCATTTTTGGATTTTGGGTTACATTTCTTGTTGCTTTTAAAATGGAGTTATCCAAATGATTAAGAACTTTGTGAGGAGACTTCAAAAGGAAGCGTTCGCCGACTAATTTAGAGTTAATTTTTTCTTTGAGATCATGAACTGGTGATATTCCAGCATCGGAAGTCTGGAAAGAAGTAAATTGACTTAAACATAGCTTTATATTATCACATAAGAACAATTAAATAACTTACGCATAGAAGTCCAAGCAAAAGTAGCATAAAACTAAGATGCTCCATTTTTGCACCAACTTTGCTTGAAATTTTTACACAAATGTTTAGCCATTTGGATCAAGCCTATAAAATTATTAATTTAACGATCATATTTTATTGCCAATTAAGAAACTTTTATGGCTATTTCTAATAAACTACTAACAAAAGGACTTACTTTTTACAATATTGCAAACGATTAGCCTGCAAAGGCGTTGTACATAGTTATTCTACGCTTGCTATGAACAATTTTCCGATACACAAAGAGTGGTCGGTAAACTACACTTGCAGCAGTCTCAATTATTTCAGAATTTTCATTTTTCATTGGTTTATCTTTTTCAGTTTCAGAATTACTTTGCACTTGATTTGGATTTTTTACTCCTAACTTTTGAACATCTTCACCAGGCACATTGACGTTTGTTTCCAGGTTCAATGCTTGCATTGCATCGGAATAATTACTAAGACTCACAAATAAAATAATAACGGCCACAAACATTGTGGTAACTTCATAACAAACAATTGCATCAACTGCACTTGCATCGTGTTTTATAAGTTTGCATTCTAATTAGGTTGTTAGACGTTTGCTAATTTGTTTTAATTAACTTCCCTTGTATTGATGTCACTCATTAACGTATGCACATGAAGTATTAGAGAAATCATTTTCTTTGCTTACTTATATCTGCTACGATTAAGATAATTGACATTGAATAATAATAATCTGAATTGTACTTTTTTTTATTTAGTTGTTACTTCTACGAGTAATTAAATCCATTTTTCCTAATTTCTAATCCTATACATACTCGTATCACAATCCTATAGCCACAGATGATATTTATCAAAACATTATTATTTGTTCCTTAGTATTGCTTATTAGATGGATTGGGGAATAGGTAAATATTGTTTTATTAAAAAACAAAAATGACTTAATAAACATTTATTACACCGTAACTAACATAACAATACATAAACAATAGATCAGATAAACTTAAAATTAGATGATTTTCCGGTTGAAATAAAAGGCTTACATACAATTACTTTACATAGGTGAGACTTAGCCATAAACGTTGGAAGGATTGCCACAATTTTCAGAGGTTTTGGTAACTGGTTAGTTTAGCCGAGGAAGGCAGGCAGCACCCTGATACGTCCACGGCCCTCCAGCTGGGAAACTTCACCGAAAGGAGACGCGTCTACTTGACCTCTTGAAGGAAGCAAGTCGCTCTCCTGTCCCTCTACGCTACGACGAGCTCTCTGCACCGGCTTGGCTTCAGTAACACCAGAATCTCCTCCCGCAGCACCAGACTTCGCAGCATCTTTTCCGATAGCTGACGGTGTTAGCTCGGGTTTTTCCGGGATGTGCTGGATCACGTCCGACTCGGCCGGTGCGCAGACGCACGCTGTCCACAGCGCTAGCGAAGCGACGACGAAAAACATTGAACGCATTTTCGATACCTATATTGCACGACTTTCAACTTTGAAAACTGATCCAGTTCGCAACCGGGAGCCAGTTTATAAGTGAAACGATGATTGCGCAATTTATTTCCCATCATTGATTCTGTACACTCAGTCTTGTTTGAAGAAGCAAACAACCACGATGTTTCAATAGCTATTCTAAAAACAGTGCTCCGAGTGATTGTTTCCTCACGAGGCTTGGTCCAAGTGCTAACAAGACTCCAAATGCAGCTGATGGTATTGTTAAAAATATAAAACAACATCTCATTTAGCACTTGGTCATGCGATATAATCAGTCCTTATTTGGTCCATGATTGAAAACAAATAATTCAGACAAAAGGATTTGGATGAACTTTTAAGGATGTGACAATTTTCAGGGGTTCCAAGTTATAAATAAACATTTTAGGGTATTGCAAATACTTTTTTGCTACTCTGTAAAAAAAGATCGTTCATTCGTCAGGGATTAAAAATAAAGATACGCATATTACATAGGGTATGTTGTACTTTAATTTTTGAATCGAAGGTGTCGCATGCGACCGGCTCGCATATCTTACGCATAAGTTTTCAATCATAGTAAAGGTTCCACTATCCTCAGCCTATATCGACTGAAAGGTTTTACTGCCTTGCTTGAGAAAATCCACTATTGTTGCTCTACCACAGTTATTGATCTCCGCTAATCATCACAGTAATTTATTTATTTGATTAGTCATCTTGAATTAGCTTACCTACTTATTGCACAATTTTCTATTCAGTATTAAAACCAAATACTTACTCAAGTTATTTACGACGTTAGTCAGAATGAATGACTATTGTAGTTACAAGAATAACATTGCGCATTGTTATTTATTTGCTCAGATCATCCTAAACCTTTTCATCTTTTCAGTATTCATAATATCAAACAAAACACATTCATGGTCATTATGTTATTGGAAGTATTTACTAAAGGCATTAGCATTATAGATGAATGCGTCAAAACGCCATTTCAAGGTACATTGGTTAACACCTGAACATCGAAAATTTGTATAAAACGCACGCGTAGGGTTCGAGTTGCAACACAATCGGAAAACAAGAACAAGTGAACAAGCATCTGGGTGCACTCCCAAACACAAAGCGGAGAAGTTTCCTGAAGCCCACAAAGACCATGGCTTCCTCGTCGTTTGTCCTTCTCTCGCTGGCGCTACTCGCCGTCGCAATCGCATCGCCCGTCCCGGTGGACCAGGCTGAAACTACTACGTTGTCTGAAGACGTTCCTCTGGTAGAAGTAATCGAAGTAATCGACGAGGTACCAGTACTGGTTCCCATTGAAGCAACTACTGTAGCAGACGCCAAAGACCACAAGGTGGCCAAACGGTCAGCCCTCCGAGGTGACAACCCGAGCAACGATTTGCTGGCTGATCTTGAAGGACTCAAGTTCGAGAGTGGACTGTCCAGTCTAGAAGGACGTAGGATTAAGTTCTTACCCACGTGGTTGGGTTAATCTTCGGGTATTTTAATAACGTTTATGGATGTTAAGTGCCAGAGTGCCTCAAGCATCAAGTACGGCAGTATACGATCCTTTAGTGGTTCAATCAGACTTTTCTCTCAGAATGTTTGTCAGTGATGTGAAATAAAAGATCGTGTACTGTAAATACCGTATTAGGTATCGCGTAAAGCTTCTGAGACATCGTAAATTGTATCTCTATTCTTTACGTTAACAATTTTCTTATATTATTAACAATGTAAGTTATGCATTACTTTTAATAAAATATCTATAGAATTAAAAAGGTTTTTATACTTACAAATATTGACCTATATTATTCACACCCTTTTCACGCTCTTAGTACCTACCTAGTAGGTATCTACTTTAAGTGACTTTTCAGTGTTCAATATTTAGTAATGCTGAAAACACGAGCAAAATAGACTGGAGTAGTATTTTTTCTTTTGCTTCTTCTTAGAAATAAAAACCAAGATCTGACATAATAAAATTAAAAGTAACCAAACCTGAGACTCAACTTTAGAACTGTTAAACAAAAGTAATTATGTATTTATTTAACTGAGGAGTAAATAGAGTTTATTTACAATACTTAGGCTTTGATACCATAACTTGATGGCCTAAATAAAATTTTGCCGTCTCTTTTGTGTATCTTTCTTTTCTTTTTTGTGTACAATAAAAAATTTTATCTCTATTTACGAGTAGGTTCACCAAATACTCGTATATATATTTTTTTAACAACTATCATCAAAATGGCATTAATTATAAAACATTTGAATTAAATTTGTGGATATGTTATTCTGAAAATAACGAAAACGAAGTAGGTATTTAGAACATACATAAACGTGAGTCAGCTCATTAACTTTATTTTTTTAAGAATCAAGACTAGATTTAAGGAAATTGGTCCTTAATGTGAATGAAAATTAATTCAATTTAAGGCCTAAATTATGCAGAATTTTCTACCCGATAGAAGGATCTATTTGAAATAAAATTAATATAGATATAAAACACATTATATTTATTTAATACAAAAAAAATTAAAACCATTGATTACAATATTCGTTTTTAGTCCATTACACAATGCTATCTTTCAAATCAAAAACAATCTCCAAGTTATCCACGGGTATTTCGATGATCGCATTATTGACGTAGTCTACTCGTACAGGATCGTAGTCCATGAGATGGTTTCCTCTCAAGATCTCGTGGTCTGCCTTCAACACTTCAGGATTCAAGAATAGCCCGTCCATCAGGCAGGTGGCCATCTTCAAAATAACTAGCAGCAGAATTACATATGCCAAGTGCTTCATGCTCTGTTCCGAGACGATGGAATGTAGATTTGAAACTGTATATGACGGGGAAAACACTGGTTTTATATAGGTAAGTATTAGGTGTTAATTGTTGAATAAACTATATACTTACGTTTTAAGTAAGTACTAGTAGGTAGTACAAACACCTTTTGGTTAGTTGCGTCCAGAATTAATATTTACAGGTTGTCACACAATTTCTCAAGATTAATCCTTTTAATAGTGACAATCATGACATCAAAGCAAAGTCAGCAAACATGTTTAACATCAACAGTAGGAGGTGCCAACGGAAAATGATCATTTCAGTCGATATGAAGCGATCAGCAACGATAACAGTTCACAATGTAACTTGAAATCAATTTCTTTACGCACTGAACAGTAAAACGCTGCGGTTAAAACATAACTATTTTGTGCTAACTACATCTAAGCAAGCATCAATATTACCTTCATTAACCTACTTATTTTCGTGAAAAGACGCTCTGACACAAGAAGATCTTCATCGATATGTATTGTTCTTTGAATGTAATCTTCTATCATGGATAGTTTTATGGCGTGAATGGTGTCATAAATTTTAGGCAATTTGAAAAAAAATCAAAGAGCCTGTAACAACAACTAGCAAGTATAATTACCTTGACTCTTACAAATTCTCAATTTTTTTTATATTATTGTAAGTTGATGTTGATGAAACGCAGCGTTTTTTAAACTCCGTGAGTAAATTCATTTCACGTTTTGAAATGAGTGATACTAGTCGCTAATGTATTGGATACTTTCATCACAGCGTAAATGTCATATTTACTTACCTGCTTTTATTGTGATTAAAATGATGATTATCTAACATTTTTTAGTGGGCAGTATTTAATTTAGTTAACTGAGTATTATAAGAAATTTCTACGTGATTTTAATTCATACGAACCTCAGACAGATAGCTATAAAGATGTCTTTTATACAAACTAATTTTGCTCTTGTTATAATCGCGTTAATTTTAAGAAATTGTAAAGGTTTTGAAGAGACCTTATTTTTAAATAAAACTACTAATAAATTCTATTGTTCCACACCATTTAATGATATTGTTTTTAAAAAGCAAGTTGTGGTTTTCGTTACAGACAAAAACTGTAACACATATTTAGAAGACTGTCTTCTCAACAAGAGAAGCATCGGCACGTCAGTCACATTAGTACGCGACAATGGCGACGCACCTGAAAATGAAACAATTGAATA